TCGCGGGTGCTGCGGAAGAAGCAGCTCGGCCGGAAGTACACCGGCAGCGGGAGCGGAAGTGAAAGCAATCCCAGTGGCGCTCTGCAGGCGAACTCGTGCGGGCGCACCGGCGGGGCCTTCAAGTGCGAAGTCTGCGAGAAGAGTTTTGCATGGGCGAGTAAACTAAAGACGCACAAAATGTACCACACTGGTGAAAAGCCATTTAGCTGTGACCTCTGTCCGAAGCGTTTTACTCAGAAATGCAATCTTGTCAAGCACATTAGGACACACACTGGTGAAAAACCATTCAAATGTGACGTATGTAGTATGCGTTTTACTGAGAAAGGCGATCTTGTCAGGCACGTGAGGACACACACCGGTGAAAAGCCATACAAGTGTGAAGTGTGTAAAATGCGCTTTACGAAGAAAGACCATCTTGTAAGACACATTAGGACACACACTGGTGAAAGGCCACACACGTGTGATGTGTGTAGCAAGGCTTTTAGTCAACCATCAAATCTCAACAGACACAAAGCAATTTGTATTTCAATTTAAATTAATTTCTTTTTAAATTGTTAAACTTTGTTAAACTATATCAGACAGTTTTCCAGCAATGATTGTTATTAGTACATTTTTGTCTGTTCATTGTATTTCGAACATTACGAATAAAAACAAGGGTCGATAGACTTCATCAAACCGGCGACACTTCCATTTTGTTCCTTTCTTGTGCCTACCGGCTATTGACGGTCCTTGGAACTTGGCGACGGGTGTCTGACGCAGTGCTCTTGTTGCAGGTGGCGATCCTAGCTCCTCGCGCAGCAGCGGAGCGTCCCTCGGGGAATATCCTGGCGAGGCGACCGCACCTAGCTGAAGCGGGACGGTAGGCTGGCTGTGACGGCGTGCTCCTGAAATGAGCCGTGGACAGAGTCCTAGTGATCCAGCGGCCTGCCACTGGTCCCGTGAGGCAGCGCGAGCTGCTGGTGCTGCGCGCCGTGCTCGTCACACGTGCCGCTATTGGAGCCGGTCTTGTAGGGGCGCCGGACGCGATCTAACGACACTTGTGTGGGGTGGGGGCGGCGGGTAACGCGGCACTCGCTTAGGACTGCAGGCTGGGGAGCACAAACTTATTTGGCGCACATTCCTTCTTCCTGTTGCGGGCCAAGTCGCTGTGCTGTCGCAGGACTATGACGCTGACGTTGCACGCGCATGCTGGTCATCCTGGTGGCGTGGCGGACT